ACTTGTTTGAATTTTGCAGGATTCCAATCAATTGTGTAGAAAAGTTACGAACTTGTTATATTTTGTCCATGTTTGACTGATTCCCCAGGAAAAAAATTGATTTATATTTATGGAAATGTTCATGAACATTTAAATGAAGACAAAATTGCATGAAAGGTATAAATTTCATTTATCTATGTGCTATATTTAATGCTTTTTATATGGATTTAGGATTTTATGTAATTATGTTCTAGATTACTTTTGTCAGACAAAGAACCTCAATGAAGTTTTGTGGACCCAGGTTTTAGCTGTTTCTCTGACCTTATTGTCTGTTTCCTGTTGCTGGGCAGGAATCAGAATGCTGGTTACTGATTGGCTGAGTTTGTGAGTAGCTCTTGAACAGCCACTTAAATTCTTAGCTTTTTGAGCAGGCGATTGTAGGCTAAGACATTACAGCTTTTGGTAATACTTCTCTTTGTTGTTTCATAGCTATGATCTCTGCTAGAAAGAAGAGTGAAAAGAATGGGTGGAGGGGTATGAAACAAAGAAGAAAATAATGTTTTCACATAAAGAGGAGGAGGCTTGTTGGGCTTTACTAAAAAGTAATTAACCAAAAATTTAAAGAAAAAAAAAATTCTCCCCCCTGCCATAGAGACTTGTTTACAGGTAACACATCCTTCTTGGTTATTTAAATATAAATTATTTTGCTAGAGGTGAAATTCTGTTAGTACTGTAGAAAATGATTTTATTAGTGATGGGACTTCCCCAGTTTTTGAATGTGAATGTACAGAGTAGGAAGGTAAAGACCTTTTATTTTTTATTTATTTATTTATTTTTTTACTATCTTCCTCATGAAAAAATGTTTTTCAGGAGAAACTAGTTCATGTTTTACAGATTTACGTCTAGATATGGCAGACATTTTCTGCAGTACAATATAAATGCTTTTTCCTGTGAAAATGAGTTTTAGTCATGTGAGACCTTTATGATTCTAGTGTTGCCATCTGAAAAAATAGTATTTCTTTGGTAGAATAGTTTTGTGAATGGCATCTCAGTTCCAGATGACGTATTTAAACTGATCCTTAGAGATATTTTGTTCCGGTAATACAGCCATGAAGACTTGGTTGCAGGTAACACACCCATTTTTAATGTGTATCTTTCTTAAATATACTTTGCTTATGCAAAATAGATTTTTAAAAACTTAATGCTGATTGGTTTGCACAGATATGGCTAAACTAGTTTGAACTGGTTCTTCATGCTTACTTCCTTATTGCTTTGTCTGTTTTTATTATACTTAGAACCCATAAAGGATCTAGTAAATGGCTGTAGTGTGCTCCCTTGTGGGTATAGATGGTAGCTATTCAGAAATTCTTTGTGCTGTTCTTTATTTAATTATTGAATAGAATGGCAATTCTGTTAATAAAATCAGCTTGCTTGGATTATATTTTTATTATGTTACTAGATGGTAGAAATACAGCTTCAAATGTGACACTTGGATTTTGAATTTTCTAATTTGTATACAAAATAACAAACTTAGGGGAAACTTGTCTTTGATTCTGTAGGTTAAGCCTAAAAACATTCTGAATATATGTGGACAATTAACGATGATAACCTTTATTGAGTCTTTGTTATTTTCTAAGTGCTTAATGTATAGAATCTCTTAATAATACTATAATTTATGTGACAGTTACTGATACTCCCTTTTTTAAAGTAACTGAATCCAGACATTGAAATGTTAGATAAGTTAGTTACTCTGAGTTACATAGTAAGTACGTGAGAGAGTTCTTTTTCAAATCCATGTTTCTGCCTGCAGAATTCATGTTCTTAATTAGATTACTAAAAATTATTAGAGAACGCTTTTATTCATGAAGTACTTTGTGCACCTGTTAGTTATGTCAGCTATTCATATAATAGCTGAGAAATGTGACTATTTGAATTTACAAAAGAATTAGTTAAGTATTTGAAAATATTGAAAGGATGACCATACCCCTTACATTATAAATTTAATTATTTTGTAATTTTAGAGTCAGCAGGGAAAAGTGACTACAAAATTTGTAGTCTTTGTTAAACATTTTTGTTCGCATGAGTTTGGAATGGGTGGGGGTGGAAGTGGGGAGAGGAATGGAAGTTTGAGTTTAAATTTAGACTTCATTGGCAGTGCAGTGGTAACAATGATAATTTTGCATTGAAGTTTCTTATCACTTGAAAACTATTTTTTATATGTAGTCTTACTGAGTTCCATAATTTATTTATTTATTTTTTTTGGTGGGACCCTTGCCCGTGGCTGGGGATCGAAGCTGCAGAGGCTGTGGGCAGCCTCGCAACCCAGCGCTCAACCTCTGCGCCACCAGGGGAGGCCCGAGTTCCATAATTTAAATTAAAAGGCTAAGAAGCTAAGAAATATAAGTAACTGGCTTATGGTGAGAATATTAATACAAAAAGTCCCCCAGTCTAGATGTACTGTGGCAAAGTGGTGTGGACCTGGAGCAAATAAATAGGCAGAGCCATTGTTTTATGGCTTTCATTGAAAGGAACAGTGAAACACCAGGAACACGCTGTATGAATAAGTTGGATTTGCGTTATTTGTTGTAAGGAGGGAAAAGACCATGCAAAACTGTGAGACAGTCAGTAAAAGGATGTTAGGAAAAAAGCTGTTACCGGATTTGGTTATAGTTCTAGTTATAGGTTAAGCTTTTTGGAGGAAGGTTTGAAGAAGTAGAGCTTAGTCCAGACTGGGTTCTGTCAGAAGGTGGGGGCAATTCTCAGTTTTGGTATCACGATAACTTACCTATAAGGAGAACAGACTGCAAGTAAAGCTGCAAATGATGAAAAAATTAACATTACTCACTTAGAGAGAGAGATGTTTGGTACTTTATGGGTTACACAGGGACCTTAACCTAATTGGAATATTGAAGTGGTTTTATGTCCAACAGAAGAAGAATGTGGCTTAGCAGTAGGTATCAAGTAAGTGTATAATAACATTGAAGCTTACCTGTAAATCTCATATGAGGTTCTCAGACATCAGAGACTCCTTTTTTTCATTCTCCACTCTAAGCAAATCTAAACAAGTATTTCCTACCATCATTCCCACTGATAATGGTAATGGTCAGTGAACATCCAAATGTAAGAGCAATATTGTCTGCTCTCTTGTACGTCTTAGTCTTAAAGGACTTTTGTTTTATTCCACTATAGTCTAGTAACATTGTCTTTCTCCAGGACCAGAACCATGCTCTCTTTTGCTTGTCATAATGTACTGACCAGATGTTAACATAGAAGTGCTGATATTGTCTTGGTTCTGATCTTATTTAAACATTAAACATGATTAACTATAGTTTTCTGAGAGTTTAATTATGAATCATTGTTAAATTTTGTCAAATGAATATTTTTTATCTGTTGAGACTATTCTTTTTTTTTTTTAACCTCTTCTGTTCATGAGATGAATTGCATTGCTAGAATTTTTTATCTTAAGTATCGAAAACTTATTGTTGGCTCTGGAGGCTCAAAATCAAGGGGTTCAAAATCAAGGGGATGGCAGGGCCATGTTAGGGAAGTATTTGTTTCACATTTAACAGCTTAACTACAGTCTTAACACGGTTTTCTCCCTATATGTATGTTTGTATCCAAATTTTTCCCTTTTTAAAAAGACTCCAATCATACTGGATTAGGGCTCACCCTAATGACTTTATTTTAACCTGATTGCCTCTGTTGAGACCGACCCTGTACAACTAAGGTCGCATTCTGAGGTATTGGGGCTTAGATCACTAATATATTTTTATCAAGTGAATATGTTGTTTAGACCTGATATAAAGCTATAATGCTTCATGACTCACTTGTTACCTATATTTTTTGTTTTTTAATTATGAAACCACCTTTACATATTTTTAGTGAGTTTTACATGGTCATAATGTATAAATATACTTGCAAATAGCTCATAGATGAAAGAAGAAATAACATTGAAATATTGAAAATATTTTAACAGACAGTAATGAAAATATGATACAATAAAATGTTAGATGCAGCTAAAGCAGTGCCTAGAGGGAAATGTATAGCTTTAAGTGTACCCATTACCTAAGTACAAAGATTGAAAATTAATTAATGTTTAACATGTTGAAGTACTAACAAGCAGCTTTATAAAGCAACTATATTATTTTACAGTTCCATCAGCATTGTAAAAGGATTCTATTTTACCCATATCTTTGTTGATACCTTTTGCTATAATCATCTTGGTGTGTTAGGTGTGTTATCTCACTGTGGTTTTGATTTACATTTCTCTGATGCCTAATGATTATGTGCATCTTTTCATGTTTATTACTAACTGGCTGTTGGCTTGTTTATATCTCTGTTACAGAAATTTCTGTTCCAGTCTTTTGTTCATTTTAAAACTGGGTTTTATTTTCATTCACTTATAACTATTTATATTTTCTAGATATAAATCTCTTACCATATATATTGTTATTAAATATGATGTGCAAATATTTCCTCCTAAAGTATGAGTTGTGTTTTACTTTTTACTTTCTTGATGGTAATCTCTTGTTTATATATTTACTGTTCTGTTAATCTAGATATGCCTAGTTGCAAATGTAATCTTATCTTTATATGTTCCTCCCAACACTCCCCCCCCCAATCTCTGTACTTCCTTCCTATTTCCATACTGGCTTTATTCTCTTATACTTTTATTTTTTTTTTTTCCATCTGCTTTTATGCCATACCTGCTTTCTTTATGTAACTTCTCCAAATTGTGTGAATCCAGTAACTTACTAAGAATGGGGGAACTGGAGATTAATCACTGTTTCCCTATACTTTCTAGTAACTGATCCTCGGTATACTATATCTGTTATCAACTATATTACAAAAATCCAATAAATGTGAACATTAACACAGCAAAGATTTATTAAGCTTTCTATATGTCATTATTTTAAAATTACATGAAATGCTGCTTGCTTGTAAGACCAATTTATGGTCAGTCTGTAATTTGTGGCTTGTTTTAATTGTTAAACTTTTTCTCCTTCTCTTTCTTTTTAAAGATTCAAAATGGATAGTATAGAAGAACCTCAGAAAAAAGTCTTTAAGGCTCGTAAAACAATGAGAGTAAGTGATCGTCAACAACTTGAAGCAGTATATAAAGTCAAAGAAGAACTGTTGAAAACTGATGTCAAGCTGTTAAATGGCAACCATGAAAATGGAGATTTGGACCCAACCTCACCTTTGGAAAATATGGACTATATTAATGACAAGGAAGAGGTGAATGGCATTGAAGAGCTTTGTTTTGACCCTGAAAAAATTAAATCAGAATGGAAAGAAACACCCTGTACCTTAAATGTTAATGTAAAAAACAAGCAGGATGAGGATTTAAATAGTGAACCTTTGTCTCCCAATAATATAACTCCTGAATTAGCTTCTAAATTGACTGCTGAACCAACTTCTGGTGATCCAGCTGTTGGTGATCTGACTACTGGAGATCCAGTCTCCGGAGATTTGGCTTCTGGAGAGCTGGCCTCTGAATTACTATTAAACTCTGGTAATCCAACATCTGGTGATCCCACATATGATGATCCCCCCTCTGATGACACCCCCTCTGGTGATCCCACCTCTGGGGATCCCACCTCTGGTGTTCCTACTTCTGGTGAGCCAGTCCCTGGGGAACCAGTCTTTGGTGAAACAGTCTCTGGTGACCCCGTCTCTGGTGATCTGGTTTCTGATGAAGCAATCTCTGGTGAGCCTGTCTCTGCTGAACCAGTCTCAAGTGAACAAACCTCAAAAGAACCCATCTCCAGTGACCTAGTCTCCAGTGATCAGGCCTGTGATGATTCAGCATCTGGTGATTTGACCTCTGGATCATCATCCTCTGATAATCCAGTCTCTGGTAATCTGACCTTCAGTGATCTAGCCTCTAGTGATCTGGCTTCTGATGAACCGAATTCTGATAAACCAATTTCTGAATCAGCCTTTGATTCCACCTTTAAACCAAGTTCTGTACCAGTTTGTGACCCAGCTCCTGAAACTGACAGCACAGAGCCCAGTAGCAATAAAGGTGAAGATTCTCTTGAAAAAAATGGGGATGATGAAAAATTAGATCAAAGTTTCACATTTGATGAGAAAATAAAGCTGATAGTAATATTGATGCTGGGGAAGAAACTCTCAAAACGGATGATAGAATTATAGGTTCAGATCTACCTCCTGAAAATGAAAAGAAAGTAGAGGAAAATGCTATCACAGAGCCTGCTCTTGGAGAAGAAGCTATATCAAGCAGTATGGAAGTTGACCAAAGTGAGAAGAATGACGATGAAAATTCTGCAGACCTTGAAGAAACGATTAGTGAAAATGTTATAAAAAATGACAAAAGTGAGAATATCTTAGAAAATACAGATTCTATGGAGACAGATGAAATCATTCCTATTTTGGAGAAGCTTGCACCTGCTGAAGATGAACTAACTTGCTTTTCTAAAACTTCTCTCCTTCCAATTGATGAGACAAATCCAGATTTGGAAGAAAAAATGGAAGGGTCTTTTGGTTCACCATCTAAACAAGAAAGTAGTGAGAGTTTGCCAAAAGAAGCCTTTTTGGTCCTTTCTGATGAGGAGGATATTTCAGGAGAAAAAGATGAGTCTGAAGTGAAATCACAAAATGAGACATGCTCTCCAGGTTAGTATATTTAAATTTTAAAGATTTTTATGAGCTTTAATAAACTGCTTAATAAAACACTCAGAAGGTTTTAATTTTCATTTAGTTGCAGAGAATGATGTTGAATAAAAGGATATCCCAACTTCATAGTATCTTAACTTCAAAAAATTCAGTGAACAGTGTCAGTGCTGAGAAGGGAAAAAAAGTTAATAGAAAATGTGCTACTTACACTTGAGGAGCCTAGAATCTAGGCGTACAGTTGAGATGGACCAACACTGTGGAATAATTTCAAGTCAGTACGTAATTATTCTTGCTGTCACTTAGTTACCAAATAACTTAGAATCTAAAAGTCTCAGTAGTTTAATTTACTTCAAGTGTAACATCATGTTTTAAAATTTTCTCATTGAAATCTTGATCTTTTAATATTCTTTATCTGGCAAATGATATTACCATTGCTGGGAGCCAAAAATACTGAAACTTGATTATCTATTGACCTCAATGGCTCTTTCACTCCTACTCAACCTATTGTCTTCCCTCTCATCAATCATCTGAATGATTTTTTTCTATGACCTAAATGTCTTTTGTTAATGTGTGCCTCTCTTTCATTAGATTGCTGTTACTGTTAGGTTAATTCCAAACTCCTTACATAAAAGTTATGTAAACTTTGTAACTTGGTCAATGCCTATCTTTACTCTCTCTTTTGTTATTCCCTGAGAAAAAATAGCAAATTTTTCATGGTCAGATTCAAACCTATTCCTTTATATAACTTTCTCAGCTCCTTTCAGACTGGAATGAATACCTGTGTGCACTCATTGCCTCATGTTAACACGAACTCTGTAAGAGAAGTGACCTTGTACCATGACACAGCATTTTGTTTCTACTTGTTTTTTTTTTTTAAAGATTTATTTATTTATACAAAAACCGGGGTACAGGCCAGATGTGCGGGAGGGTGAGAGGATTCACCAGAAACAGAGTGGGGAACAGAACAGGCAGACTGACGAAATACACTGCTGAGGGCAGCAGTGGGCGAGCCAGGAGAGGTCTGATATGCCATGCTGGACCTTCGCCGGCCGGCCAGGATCAAACCAGTGCTGCAGAGAATGCGGACAGCCCCACAGTGCTGCGCTCAATCACCTGTGCCACCAGGGGAGGCCCTGTTTCTACTTGCTTAAAGAATAAAAAAGGAGTCAGGCCTAGGAGACACACAGAATTCTCCCTCCCCCCCCACCCCCATCAATATATCATACTAGTTTTTGGAGGTAGAGGTTTTTTTTCTTATTAAAAGATGAGTTTTATTCCAGAGTATTAGTGTTCATTCATTCAACATATAGCGAGACAGGCCAGGTTTTTTTTTAGTTCTTGGGATTCAAAGATAAAATTTAGTACTTGCTCTCAGGATGCAGACACGAATTAAATCACACCATCAGATATGGACTGTGTCTAGTGATAATGTTAAGGTGATATTCTGGGAGTTAGAGGAGGTTAACTTGATGAGAATATAAGATTTATTCAGGAAGATACTTGTCTTTCACTAACTGTATTACATAGGGTTTTAGTGAAGAAAATTCCACTTACTGCTCAGGTGAAATACCTTAAACCATTTCTTATTTATTTCTTTCATACTCCATAGGTAATCCCTCAGGAAATGCTTTTGCTCTACCTTCAGAATAGATCTAGAATCCAATATCTTCTTACCATCATAACTGATAACATCCCTGTTCTGAGCTACCATCATCAGGCCAGAATCATGCCTGGATTACAGTATATGCTCAATAAATATTTGTGGGGTGATTGAATAATGGAGGATCTTGGTTACAAAGCTAAAATATCCTAATAACACAGGGGAGCTATTGAGTGATTTTTAAGCAGAGATGATAAAATTACATTTTGGAAAGGTAAAAGTAAAATTTACTCATTTATTTAATGATAATTTATAGAAAGTGGCATTGGGGCAAGTCCTTAAAAATTTTGTAATCTGTAAAATTGCAGCTTATTAATGAATATGCACTTTACCTTTGTGTTAGGATCTTGATATTGGAGACTGTCACTATCACACCATGCTACTAAATGCAGAGAGATTAATATTAAGCCATCTACGCTGCATACTTTAGAAATTAAAAGTTGGATTTATTTTTATTAATTTTAGACTTTTATTGTGTGCTTTTAGAAGAGTAAGTTTAGTGATAGATTCAACTTGTTTGCTGGTAACAAAACTTAATTATTTTCTGTCTTCTCCCCACCCACCCACCATGGAAATTGTGTGTATTGAGTGTTGAAGTGGTTTCTTTACAGGTGATACTCCTTTTCCTATTTAGTAGAAAAATACTAAATGTCACATTTAATATTTGTTGTGTACCTGCTGAGGAATTACTTATATCAGTTTTTTAAAAAATTCTTGACTGATTTTTCAATGGGTAACTATTTGAGTAGGAAAGCTATTTTAATTTTATAAGAATAGAAGAAAGACCTTAAAAAGTATTGTGTTTATATTTCTTAGTATACCTGAAAGCCTGTTGTTTCATATAATAACAAACTCATTGAATGATTAAAAACATAGACTGCTTAGGAAAGCTAGGGAAAAAAAGATTTTCCTCTGGGAAAGTTTGGTTTCTCTCTTGCCAGACCCCTCCTAATTTTTCTAAGTGAAGTGGTATTGACATTCATGTTGTTAAATTCAGGAGATAATATTTTTTGGTCACCCACTATAAGAGTCTCACTGTGTTTAGCTTTTAGTCTACTGCAGTCTCCAATTTTCCTCTCCTACCCCCCCTTTTCTTTTTGTTGTTGTTCCCATTCTGTTTACTATAGAGAAATAGGAAGGGGGAATGTTCCTCCTAGCTTTTTAAATTTTTAAAATAATGCTATTAATATTTATTGAGGGAAATCCCTCAATTTAGAGTTAGCCAGAGTTTCCAGTAAATTCTGACATAATTTTCTTCCAGATTTTATTTCAGATAAAAAAAACCTAGAGTTGGTTTGTTTTTTCTCGTTCATTGAATCTTTAGTAAAATGACCATAAGTGCTAATGAGGATAATTCCTTGGGAATTAGAATTCAGGGCTTGTGTTTTTTTTTTTTAAAGATTTATTTATTTATGCATACAAGAGCTGGGGTGTAGGCCAGAGGTGCACAGAAGGTGAGAGGATTCACCAGAGACAGAGTGGGGAGCAGAACAGGCAGATCTACTGAAATACACTGCCGAGGGGAACAGAGGGCAAGACAGGAGAGGTCCCCTGGCCAGCCGGGGATTGAACTTGTGCTGCAGTGGCTGAGGACAGCTTGATAGTGATGTGTCTTTAACCCCTGCATCACCAGGGAGACCCTATATAGTGTTCTTTACCTTGTGATTTCTTATTTAGTTTTGGTTGCAGAATATGATAAATTATAGCAGACTTTATTGAAGCCACTGGGGAGCCAGTTGCAGTGATTGACCAGTGGCCTTTTAAGATATTTTGTTTATTATAAAAATGAAATTGTATAGACTTTTTTAATAATATTTTTTGGTTGTACACTTTGTTTCATTTTTTATTCGTCTTGTGAAATTCACTTAACCTTTCTAAACATTATTATTCTTATCTATATGATGGCAAAAATGCTGTTCATAGTGTAGGATATATTTGAAGATATGAAGTAATACGTGTCATATACCTTACTCAGTTGTTTAAGTAAAACATTTATTTTAAAGATCTTTTATTCTTCTTTTGGAACTATAACAAGGCCATTAAAATAACTAATTCAACCTGCTTAGTCAAAATACTAGGTATTTTGAATTTTTTCAGTGTTTTTTTTTTTGTTTTTGTTTTTTTTTTTTGTAATTGTTATCACCAGTGTTTTAGTTATAGCAATTAAATGTAAGGGATTCTAGCTGCTTTATAGTACTTTTCACATTTTAATAATCTATTGATGACAATAAATTTTCTTTGTTTTGAAATCTATACTGTTTAAAGAGCCTTCATATGAATTTGGTGGCACATTTGAAAATGGACTTGGTTATTATGTCTACCTGTTCATGTTCCCTTTTTATTCCCGAAATTTCAGTTTTAAGACTTTGAATTCATAAACTATATTAACTAGTTACACTGAAAGTGAATTATAATGAGCAGTTAAGAACTCTAATGAAGTAAGATTCTTGTTTCTATTTTTATTACAGAAGTAGAAGAAAGTAATGAAAAGGATGACAAACCTGTAGAAGAAGAGCAAGTAATACAGGAAGATGAAAGGCCTTCTGAAAAAAGTAAGCATGTGTAAAAAAACTTGAGCTAGTTTTAAAAATAGTGATTGTTTCTGCTTTTAAGTCTATGCAATATAATTTTCTTACCATGAGGTATCGCAAAAGTTTGTGCTTAAGAAAGTCACTGTTAAATCTTTTCATTGAAGACTACCCCAAGGATATTTGGAAGTCTTTATTATTTTGTGCACTTCAATGTTTTATTTTGTTTACTTACACTTTTGATTGTTCCAAAGGAAAGATTTATGCTCAATGTTTAGTAAGATACTATCTGAACGTCTTGGTAGAAATTGTTTTCCAATTGAGACTAATAGTGTTTTATATGGGGTAATATACTTCAATGGAAATGTGTGTCTTAGTTTCTTAAGCTTCATGGGAAGGGCAAATGATGGTACTGAGTATCATATTTATAAGAAGATGATCTTTGCACTAGAAGTCAGGAAGCCTGGGTCCTTTAACTCTCCCTGAAATATTGCTCTCCATATATGACTATGTAAATTAAAAACATGAGAAGTTGTAGAGTAGAACTGGATTTAAAAAAATAGGCACATAGATATGAATGTTCAGTGAAATGGGGAAATACAGTTATGATTGCATAAGGACACTGACTTTCAGCAGCTGTGGAGATGGTAGTATTATATTTTTGCTTTTTATATATTGAAAAAGAAGCCAGATAAAACTTATAACTAGGTAGATTTCATGAACATTATCAATATTTGAAATAGAATTTTCTGAGATCTTTGAATATCCATTTTTGCTAAATATGCTTTTATAATCATAATAATTTTATTTTTATGGTTGAAATTCATTAGTATGTATTAAGAATAATTATTATGATGCTATTTTCCTAAGACTGGTGATTAAGCATTTTTCCTAAATTTGCTAAGGGAAAAATTTTCTGAGCAGGAAGAATTAAATAGTTAAAGCTATGCACAGTTGGTTACCATCTATGATGTGTATGAATATTGTATTTTGTCAAGAGAGGATTCATGTATACTATAAAGTTTGCCAAAGGGATTGAATATGGACTAACTTCTTATATTCATATTATTAAATGATTCTGTCTTAATATAAAGATTTTAAGGAAAGTTGTTTGTTTACATTGCACATTGCTTATCCACGTGTAGGTTCTTACTTATCATATTGAAAGTCTTAAGTTTGCTACTGCAAGCTGCCAACATACTTTTCTCTTTATTTTTTATTTTTAAAGGTTAACAGAAGGTTTATTTACAAGGGAAGGGGAATGAGGAAATATGCAACTCAGGGAGAAAAGAGGGAGATAAATTCTTAAATGTGTCCTACCTATTCCGCCGATCTGGAATCCCAAATGACCCGCCAAGACCAAACCTGCCTGGCCAAGAGCATGAGCCAAGTGTGCCCGACCCCACTAACATGGCTGGTTTTTATTTAGAAACAGAGAAAATGGCTGCTTAACTCTGCCCTTAGGTCCTCACCACTTCCCATTGGTGATCCTGGGATTTGTAGATCCTGGTGTCTTGATGGAGTGGGGGTGGCATCCACAAAGCCTGTATGGAATTAACTTCACTTTTTGCCATCAATTCTAAGGTGTTGAAGATCAAATGTATGGATGCTGGGGTACAGTCTCAAATGAAAATTTTTCTCAGGGTTCCCATTGGAAAGCAAACCAGTCTCTCCAGGTATTGTCCATTGTGGAAAGCAAAAGTCCTCCATTCCTGGGAAATAGTTTATCAGTCCAAGCCAAAAAAAAAAAAAAAAAAAATCTGGAGACATTAGCCAAAACAAAACAGCAAAGGTATCAAATCACAGGAAAAATATTAAATTTGATTCAACTTACCAACATCTCTAATCTCTAAAACAATTCATAAAATATTGATTTGAGTTTATTATTGTGATAGCTAGAAATAATGTGCTGAGGATGGCGAGTAGGCATTAAGTTCTACAATTAAAACACCTGATTGAATATTACGATTTTCATTCTTAGGTGAATTTTCCAGAAGAAAACGTTCTAAATCAGAAGACATGGACAATGTGCAGTCCAAGCGCCGTCGATATATGGAAGAAGAATATGAGGCAGAATTTCAAGTGAAGATTACAGCCAAAGGAGATATAAACCAGAAATTACAAAAGGTATTAGAGATGATGTTAAAAACTACATTAAATAAAAACATCACACTATTCTTCTAGGCTTTTAATATTTGGTATTTTACTCATATTCAGGATTTTTTATAGACGGACAAGTTGGAGAGTGTGTTTGAGCTTATTATCTTTATAATTTAATTTAAAAATTCTTCTGACTTTTAAAGCTACATAATTATTTTAGATTTGATTGTAATTATCAAAATGAGGAAAAATAATGACTTCTTTGCTTTTAGTAACAAAACTAATCAATTTTCAGCTCTTTTCTTCTACATTAAATTTATTATAATAGAAATGTTAAGAATTTTATGTTGAGGGCCTCCCCGGTGGCACAGCTGTTGAGCGCTGGGTTGTGAAGCTGCCCGCAGCCTCCGCGGCGCCGGTTAGATTATGGCTGCTCCCCGGCCAGCAGAGGAGGGTCCCACATGGCGCGCAGACCTCTCCTGCTGCCCGCTGCTCCCCTCAGCAGTGTACTTGGGTCCTTCTGCCTGCTCTGCTCCCGGCTCTGGCTCTGGTGAATTCTCTCACCCTCCTGTGCTTCTGACTGTACCCAGTGCATGTATAAACAAAACAAAACAAACAAACAAACAAATAAATAAATAAAATATACCTCTATTTAAAAAAAAGAGAGAATTTTATGTTGACATTTTAATTTTTAAAATAAGCTAGCTTCATGCTTCTGAGTTCCTGTGTTCCAAATCTTTGTTTTGTACTTTTAAGATTAGTATTGAGCCTCCCTGGTGGCACAAGGGTTAAAGTCTCAGTGCTTTCAAGCTGTCACCACCCACTGTGACATGAGTTTGATCCCAGCCAGGGAGCAAACCCACTTGTCACAACAGACCTCTCCTGTCTCTGCCTGCTGCTCTCCTCAGTGTACTGTATTTCAGACAATCCCCTTGTTCTGCTTCCTACTCTGACTCTTGTGAATCCTCTCTCCCTCCCCCTCCACACCTCTAGCCTACACCCCAGTTCTTATATGCATAAATAAATCTTAAAAAGAAGATTAGTATTGAATTTGATAAGGACAGGCTGTAAAAGGACTAGTGAAAAGGACTATTTCAGATACAGATTTTGGAAACCTCCCCTTATATTTGTTAGACTAATGATAAAAATGATGAAAATATGTAGTATTTTTCAAAACTTGTCACAAATATTTATGACCATTGCCTTTTTATTTATTTTTTATTATTTCTAAAGATTTATTTATTTATTTTATACAAGAACCAGAGTACAGGCCAGATGCGCAAGCTGGTGAGAGGATTCACCAGAGACAGAGCGGGGAACAGAACAGGCAGACTGACGAAATACACTGCTGAGGGGAGCAGCCGGTGAGACAGGAGAGGTCTGCCTGCCGCGCCATGTGGGCCGGGATTGAACCGGCGCTGCAGAGGCTGTGGACAGCTCCACAGTGTGGCGCTCAACTGCCTGCTCCACCAGGGAGGCCCAGTTGCCTTTTTAAAGAGGAATATGTAACTCAGATGAAATTAATTTTTGAGATCTTCTTACAAATTTAATGATGAAATTATAAATAATCTAGGTTTTAGATCAGTGTTCTTTCACTGAGATAGAGTGTAAATATCCATGCTAGAAAAAGGAATAATGATGAGTATAAAAGTGGCTTCTTCCTTCAGATTTTTTTTTATTTCTCACATGGAGACAATAATGATTATTTAGTCTGTCTTGTTAGGTCTATCAGAAATATGAAGATAGGGCTTCCCTTGGTGTCGCAGGCGATTGAGCGCAGTGCTGTGAAGCTGTCCACAGTCTCTGTAGCACCGGTTCAATCCCTGCCGACTGGCGAGGATCCCACATGGTGCGGCAGACCTCTCCTGTCTTGCCTGCTGCTCCCCTCAGCAGTGTATTTCGTCAGTCTGCCTGTTCTGTTCCCCGCTCTGGCTCTGGTGAATCCTCTCACCCTCCCGCGAATCTGGCCTGTGCTCCAATTCTTGTATAAATAAATAAATTAATCTTTAAAAAAAAAGGAAATATGAAGATAGTTAACATGAAAGAATTTTGAAAACTTCTGTGTATACTGAGAATTTACTTGAATAGTGTTTTTTCGAGTATGGCATATGGGCATACATGATGTTACCTCTTTGTTCTGGGTCCATAATGAGATGTCTCATGGAAGTTTAAGAATTTTAAAAAAGAACTCCTGTCCTTGAACTGGTTTCTTTTAAATCGTGATGGAGAGTATATGGGAAGAAAATAGTAAAACTTCAATTTCAAAATATTTAAAAAATATCCCTTGGAAATTATCTATCTTTAATATGCAATAGATATTATATATGTAGAAGTGGAGAATTTCAGCCAATAATGTTTGTTATGGATGCCAGCGTGTTTTCATTAAATTAGTAGATACATTAGTACTTTCTTATTAGTACTTAATGAATTTGCTGTTTGCTGCTTCATTGAATTGCTTTCTTTGCTGTAACAAAGGAATGATACATTTCTGTAGGTTGTACAATGGTTGCTGGAAGAAAAATTGTGTGCGCTGCAGTGTGCTGTATTTGATAAGACTTTGGCAGAATTAAAAACTCGAGTGGAAAAGATTGAATGTAACAAGAGGCATAAAACAGTCCTCACTGAACTACAGGTTTGTACACTAACTTGAATTATATGTATGTGTGTCCTCATTTTTATAACTTAATTTTCTGGGATACATATTTTGTATTTGGCAATAGTATATGTTTAACTTACAAATATTAGAAGTAAAAGGTACCTCTGTTAGTTTGTTAGGGCCGCCATTAAAAGGTACTGTAATCAGGATGGCTTATACAATAGAAACTGTTGTCTTATCCTCCTAGAGGTTAAAAGTCAGGGTTGGTTCTCAGGGCTGTGCATAGAATCTGTTAACTGTATTTGGTCTTTCTTTTAGTGGTTTACTGACAATCATTGGTTATCCTTGCCTTATAGAGACATCACTTATCCCTGGTTTCATCTTCACAGTGGTGCATCTGTGTGTCTCTGTGTCCAGATGTCCCCCTTTTAATAGGATACCAGTCATGTTGGACTGGGGCACACTCTACTCCGTATGCTCTCATCTTAACTAATAATCTCTGCAATGACCCTGTTTCCAAATAGGGTCACATTCTGAGATATGCAGGGTTCAGAACTCAGTTTATGAACTTTTTAGATTCAAAGTTAACCTATTACAGAGCCTGAGAAATTATCTAACTTAGTGCTTCTTAAATTTTTTTTTTCAGTGATTGAATAATGTCTGGCATCATCTATCATGTCATGAGTACTAGATCATACTTGTTATGATTCTTTTTATATTGACCATTTTCCTTCCATGGATCTTATGTTTTAAAGACTTTAAGTTTATTAATGTATATTATTATTATATTTTGCTAATTATTAAATAAGCTATAAACATGTAGGGTGAGTGCTTTTAATCATTTGAAATGAGCATATGGTAATATGTTGTGATAATCCATTTTATTCAAAGCCTGAGAGTAGAAATTTTTGTTATTCTTTCCATCATAAGTAAATCTGTTGTTTCTATTTGTCTATCTGAAGTATGAGCAGAGTCTACAGATGCTAGGCAAAAAATCCCCTTTGGATCCTATTTTAGAGATGATGGAAAAGTGGCCCATGGAAGTAAAGCTGCTCTTTTTTTACAGTAATAAAGCAGATTGCAACCAATTGTGGCTATAGTTTAGGTACTATATTTCTCAGCCTAAAAATTATTTTATTGATTTCATGTTAATTTTTTTACAAGGTGAGACTTTATTAATAATAAGGTTTTTTCAATTTTGTAATATACCATTTAGGATGTTTATCAAGCTTCTTACCTTGTGCAGTCTTTCTATAATGACAGTGTTGTCTAATTAGTAGATTTAATTTTATTAGTACTGTTGAGAATTTTGAATTAGATCTAAAAATGGCTGAAGATTTAAGAGTAATTTCATTCCTTGTTTCTCATCAATCCTGTGATTTTTTTTTTAAAACCTGCATAATCAGGAAAGAAAAAAGCTAGGGTGTGTGTGTGTGTGTGTGTGTGTGTGTATAATGTAACAGGCATAAATGCACATTATTTTGTTTATGCATTATTCTGTTGATGGATATTTGAGTTGTTTCTGCTTTTTGGATATTGTATGTAGTATTCTTTTGAATATTTGTGTACAGCTTTGTGTTTAAATACATTTTTCAAATCTTTTGGGCATACCTAGGTTTAGAATTGTGGGTCATATGGTAATTCTTTGTTTGACTTATTCAAGATCCACTCATTTGTTTTTCAAAGCACTTGTCCACATGCTTGCCAACACTGGGTAGTTTCTGGGATTTTTTTTCCTTGGTTTTTAAAAATAGGAATCCTAGTGGGTGTGAAGTGGTATCTCATTGTGGTTTTGATTTGCATTTTCACAATGATTATGATGTTGAGCAGCATCTTTCCATGTGTTGAACATTTGTGTATCTTTAGAGAAATGTTTACTCAAGTTCTTTGCCTATTTTTAATTTGGGCTTTTTTGCATTTTCATTGTTGAGTTGCAGAATTTCTTTACATATTTTGGATATTTTATAAATATTTTCTGCCGTTTGCAAATTGTTATTTTACTTGATTGATAATGTCCTTTAATCAGAAATTTTATATTTTGATAAAGTCTAAAGATAGCATATTGTTGTCATGATTTACTATCCATTCTGCCAATCTTTGTCCCTTTTTTTTCCATTCTGCAGAGTTTATTGACTTTATCACTGATCCCGAGTCACATGTATACAAAATGAAGCTCATACTATCCCAAAGTAGAGTAGGATTGAGAGCTAGGCAATCTGTTACTGTCATTTGGGGAAGCTCTGAGTTGAAGGCAGCCAGCCTTCTACTCCAGAGAGATGTAGTCACAGGAGAGGGGAAGAGAAGGAGCCCGCTTGGCTTTGGTCACAGAACTCAGCCTGGCAATGAGCATGGCCAGATGGATAGAAAAGCAGGAACCCCAGAAACCACCATACCCAGGAAGCCCAGGGACTCCTGTGCACTCACAGTATGGCTGGTCCAGACCTAGAATCACAGGCTGCTGCAAAGGGAAGGCATCAAAGCAGGAGGGAGGAGACACTGTGTGGTAACTGACCACTGACACTCAGGCCTGTGGGAGATAGTGAACTGGAGGGGAGCAAACTGCCACTGGACAGCTGTGAGAGTCATAAATGCTGCAGTGGCCAATATGGAGCACACATTTGGTGACATGGTTCAGCTTTAGTTCAAGCACCTTCAAGTAGCACACCTTGAGTCTAGTGGATGTGACTGACAACTCAAATGTGGGGTTAGGCCCAGTTTTTCTTGTTGGTGGGCAGAATATCTCTTTACTGGGTTATGATTCCTTTATGCCTGCCATATGTTCAACCTTCCACATGATAGTAATATCGTTTGCCTTCTACTTGGCCTTCCCCTTCATGCAGGTCATCTATACCCATTTTGTGTTCAGTGGGGTTAGGATACTCAGCTTTATTGTCTGAACCATTAGTGAGGGCTTGGAGTTAGACTTGATGCCACTTGGACCTACAGCTTGCTGAGCGATCACATAGATCCCTCACATAGCTTGTAATGGGATCACATAGAAAGGAAGGATCGTATCCTTGGTACTGTGATATATCATGAGCCTCACACTCTCTATCTGGTGGCATGAAGCTGTTGCTATGTTCAGTCATACTTGCTGAGTCACACACATTGATGGAAGGTAGTCATAGATGGCACGTGATTGCTTCCTGTTCTTGCTTGTTTTATCACTTGTGTCTTTACTCTGTGTCACAATGACAATCTTGTCTTTCATCTTAGGTGTGCACTTGAGCATGCCACTCAGGTAGCTAGCTCCTCATTACAGAGCTTGACATACTGGCACTCAGCATCTACTCCTGCAAGCACATGAGGAGGTTCACACTCTTTCAGGACATCAAGGAAGAGTTTTTTCCAGCACTATTTATTGCTGTCCCACCACCAGCCAATCTGCTTGGTTACCTGGCTGGTGATCTGAATTGCTCTTCATTTGTCTGATACTGACTCTTGATGTCCTGCTGAGTGATGAAGGTTTTCATTGTTTCTCTCTCTAAGTTCTTTGTGCAGCCAAAGTCCAGTATTTCATCTAGCGGCTCCTGTCTTGGTGTTTTTCCTCACTGTGCTTGCCAGTGTAGGCTGTTGTTACTTCACATATCCTATAGAGGAATTTGAAGATTGTGGCACATTTCTATTTTGCTTGTTGACAGCTGTCAGCCAGATGTTGGACCCCTGGCACAAGATGTTGGAAGGAACTGGCACAAGTGATATTGATGATGAGGCTGTACACCTGCTCTGAGTGTGGATAACATAATCTGAAAGACAGCTCCACTGCATTCCTCCCAAAGTCATCTCTGTAGACCCTTGACATGGGCACCTCCCCATTGTGATTATAGGTGAATAAATCTCTGTGGCCCATTGCTCTTGAAACAGATGGGTGTTGTGTCCCCTGCTTACCCCACCTGGCCACTCTGTCTGCCCCCTCAATCTCTGCTTTTTCATTGGAGAGTCTCATTTATTTAAAGTAGTTACTGATAAGGGAAGACTTATTCATATTGACTCATTTGGGTCATTTTTTTCTAGTGTACATTTCTGGTGAATTTTTTTTTTTCTGGTGAATTTTTAATTTTAATTATTGTACTTTTGCTCCAGAGTATCTATTTATTTTCTTTGTATAATTTCTTTTACTTTATTGATATGCTGTATTGGGTGAGACATCATTTTCCTTTTTTTCTTTTTTTGTAGTTTGTCCTTCCATTTAGCTCTTTAACCAGACTTAAAATCACCTTTTTAAAATTTTTGTCTAGTAAGTCCAGTATCTATCTTTTTCTTAATCCCTTTTTTCCTTGTGAATGAACCATATACTTCCTACTTTCTTTGTATGCCCAAGTTTTTAATTGAAAACTGGGTGTTGTGAATATCATTATGTAGTAATCTGGATATCAGCTCTCCCCCCTGCTCCCCAGGTTTATTGTTCTTGTTTCTTGTAGTTGTTTGCTTATTTAGTGATTTTGTGAACTATTTTATAAAGTATATTCTTTGTTATGTGTGGCCACTGAAGTCTTATGTTTCTTTTGCTTCTTGGTCACCTGGTGATTTGACAGTTACCTTAATTGGTTGAGCCTAAAAAAGAGCCCATAAAGCAAATTGACTGTGTGGAGGCATTTCTTTCAGTGCTTGCCTAGGCCATTTACAACTTGCCTTATCCTTCACTTACAGCTTGCATAGACTCTGAAGGCCAGTAGAAGGTAAGAGCTTAGGATTTTTTCTGGTCAAATCGGACCATGCATTGTGCTTTGGGCATTCACAGAGTCTTCTTGATTTCCCTAAATGGGTAAAAGCCCCTTCTGAGCCATGTGTCTTCCTTCCCAAACTTTTCCTTCCTAGGTTTTTCTTTGTATTGCTTCTTTAGATATTGTTCCTTTGCCCAGACTGCTGTACCAGTCAATATGTGTGCTTTTAAGTCTCTTTGGGAAAGAGACATCTGAGATGCTGCCCCAGCCTTGCAATTTACTCCTTAGTTGGGTGAAATAAAGGCTAGCCTTTGTGTTGGTTAATCCTTGAAGGAATTGCCAGTTTAAATGAGGTCCAAATTGCTTCCTGTG